CATCCCTCTCCGCTGGGTCTCTAACAGTGCCCTCAGTGTAGTGCTTCACTCTGTAGGCCTGGCCCACCTCTAATTACCGAGATCTTCCTCCCCTCCCCTCTTACCCTCTTCTTTCATTCTTCAGCTCATGATCTCCTCTCTCCCCTTCTGGGGAAAAAAGTCCGTCAGGCCATAAGGACCTTTATTTTTCTGTTTCTGTACTGTTCCTTTGCTCTTTCTACCCCCCACCCCATCTCAGGAGGAATACGAAAGTGCTTGTGTTCATTGCTACAATGGATTCTTCTACTTGTGTTTATTATCTCTTCTTCCCTTCCATCTCCTCAGCAACCTTCCTGCTCCATCCGTTAAGCTCCCTTTTTTCTTGTTACTTTCCTGCCCCCCAACCGTTCTGTCTCTTGGGATATAATCCTACTCAGTTCTCTTAAAAACAAAATGTCTCCCTCTGTTCTGGTTTGCTTTCAACTCCTCCCTGCCAAGTATCCTGGCTTAACTGCTCAAAAGCCTCTCTACCACATTTGGTTCCCAAATGCCAGTCTATGGACCAACTGGTAGCAGTCACCTGAACCAAAGAATCTCTTGTATTTAAAAATGTTCCTTAGGGGTGCCTGGGTGAAAGAAAGTAGTTAAACAAAGGCAGTGGGTTAAAGCCTCTGCCTTCTGCTCAGGTCATGATCCCAGGGTCCTGGGATCGAGCCCCGCATCGGGCTCTCTGCTCAGTGCAGAGCCTGCTTCTCTCTCTCTCTCTGCCTGCCTCTCTGCCTACTTGTGTTCTCTGTCTGTCAAATAAATAAATAAAATCTTTAAAAAAAAATGTCCCTTGGGTGATGCTGGGTGCAGCTGGCTTAGGGACCTGCCCAGCCTTTGAGTTCTCACCTCTATTTGTTCCTTGGTGGGCTGAGTTTGATTTCTGTCTCTAGTACTCCACAGGTACTGATTTAATTTAAAAAACCTAATGGGGGGGCACCTGGGTGGCTCAGTGGGTTAAGCCTCTGCCTTCGGCTCAGGTCATGATCTCAGGGTCCTGGGATGGAGCCCATATCGGGCCTCTCTGCTCAGCAGGGAGCCTGCTTCCTCCTCTCAATCTGCCTGCCTCTCTGCCTACTTGTGATCTCTGTCAAATAAATAAATAAAATCTTAAAAAAAAAACTTAATGGAGACTCTAATTTCTAACTTACTTAAACTCTTCTGTAATATTGTAGCTGTTAAGTACTCTGTCCTTCAAAGTCCACCCCTCTGGATTTCCAGATCCTCCCCCATCCCACATGTTTTTTACTATGGATGTTCTATCCCAGTCCTATCTGTTGTCTTCTCTTATCCCTGTACCTATCCAACCATAGTCTTAGGTGAAAGTCCTCACATTTCCACATATAAGGGTTAGTTATTGCTTGTGCTGGTGATTTCTGAAATCTGTATCTCTAGCCTATATTCCTGAATCCCAGAACTATGCATTCTACTGTATGCTTGATACTTCTCTCTAGATGTACCACAAGTAGATCCCAAATCCAGTAGGTTCAAAACTAAACTTCTGTTCATTCTGTTGCTCTTAATGGCCATCCTCCTGTCCTAGTCCTCCTTGCCTCCTCACTCATCCTTCATTGATATAGTCTATCTCCTATTATTTCTTTTTTCCCCTCTCCTATTATTTCTGTTCCCTGCATTTTTTTGAGAGTTTGCTGATCCTTCTCTGTCCCTGTTGCCTTAATCTGGGATTCATAATTTATGGCCTGGATTACTGCGAGAGCCACTCCATTGGTTTTTATATTTGTGGTCCTTCCTGCAGTTTATTCTCCACATTGCTTTTAGAGTGAGCTGCTTACTCTCCTGCTTAGAATAACATAATGGCTCATCATGGCCTTTAATGAAGTCCAATCTCCTTTACTTGGCATATAAATTCCTCTATAACCACCCCTTCCCATTTTCTCGACCTTATCTTCCATCATGTCACTACGAACACCTTTCAATTTATTCATGAGCTTCTTAGGGTTCCCTAAACAGCTTTATTCTCTCATGCCTTTGTTTACTGAAAATATTGCAAGTTTTGGGAACGTCCCTTTCCTACCCAGGGCCCCTACTTGCCCACCACTGCCTTTGTGCAAATTAGAAGTGGATTTTTCATCCAGTCAGTTTTGTGGGTGCTCAGGTTGGTGTCTGATAGTACTTTCGTGGTTCACAGAAAAAGGCCCACACTGTGCTGAAGCACCCTGTGTGGGATTTAGCGCTTGGTGAGCTGAATGCCAGCCCTCTTTTAGGCCTCTGCAACTCCTTTGCTGGCCCCCCCACCCCGAGTAGTGAGCAACCTGTGTAATGGAGTGGAGTAGCCCTGCTCCCATTAGCTCCTCTTCCTGGAAAACTTGCTAAGATTATTCTCTGTCTTGAATTTCTACCTCTCATTAGACCATGGTTCTTATCCTTCAGTTTGGTCACCAGCCACTTGGTGAATCTGAAGAAAGCTGTGGATGAACCCATTCTGTAAAAATGAGCATACTTTTTTTTTTTTTAAGATTTTGTTTATTTATTTGACAGAGAGAGAGAGATCACAAGTAGGCAGAGTGAGAGGGGGAAGGAGGCTCCCTGCTGAGCAGAAAGGCCGACGTGGGGCTCCATCCCAGGACCCTGAGATCGTGACCTGAGCTAAAGGCAGAGGCTTAACCCACTGAGCCACCCAGGTGCCCCAAAATGAGCCTACTTTTAACATAGAGTTCACTCATGAACCCAAGGTTAGAAACCACATTCTGAATATTAATCAACTTGGCTCCTGTGCCCAGGATGGGGTCTGCCACTTAGTGGACACTAAATTAATGTTTGTGGAAATGTTGAAAGCATTTCCCGACGACCTACTTCTGTACTTTTTCTCTGTTCATATTATTTGCAAACCTCTATCCTCCAACATATTTTATATACCGCCATCATTGCTTTCTTGTCTGTGTTCCCAACTAGCCTCTGAAATTTTCCAGAGGAGGCACTGCTCTGTCCATATCTGTATTCTCAGCATTGACCACAGTACCAAGCAGGCATTTGGTAAATGTTTGAACAAATGAGATTTAGTAATATTAAATGATTTGCTTAAGGTTATTCAAGTGATGGTGGATCTGGAGCTGGTTACATAATTTTTACTTTTAGACCCCATGCTCTTAAATATTTTAATTAGAGCATACGTGCACATATGCACCGTGGGGACAGGCAGAGGGAGAGAGAGAATCTTCAGCAGGCTCCATGCCCAGCACGGAGCCCCATGTGGGGTTTAGTCTCATGACCCTGAGATCATGCCCTGAGCCGAAACCAAGAGTTGAACACTCAACCAACTGAGCCACCCAGGTGCCCCTAGATATTTTACATTTTGCATGTGTGTGTGTGTGTGTGTGTGTGTGTGTGTGTGTGGTTGGATGACTCCTTAATTCTCTATTAAATGGAAAGAAAGAAACAGTATGACTAAATGTAAGTATTCAGATTAGTATAATAAATAGCTCCTACATTGATAGGTATTGAATATAATTTTTTAACTATGCTGGTATTTTGCAAAATACTTCTCCATGAACTTCTAAGGGATAAACAAAGCTTTCTGGATGGAATTTAGCTACTGAGTTGAATTCAATGATAATCTATTTGTGAAGAGATCAAAACTGGGTTTCCAATTTTTGACCTTGCTAAAGGAACCCAGCCCTGGTCTCCAGATGCTTGTGTGGTTTTCTCACCATTTTCAAAGTAGCATTCCTAATAGTGGTTTAAGGAATCCCTCCTGCTTGCTTACTGCATTTTATTGCCCCCCGCTTTTTTCCAGAGATGTAGGGGCTCATAACAATTGATCATTTTGGCCTCATGAATCAGGAATTTTTTTTTCTAGGTTGAGAGCCAGTTGATTTGGTTTTACAATTCTCTGTTAGTTTGCTTCCTAGAACTTGTTTCATTTAAAATCCAATTGCTTTGTATTATAATTGATTCCTTTTGTAGTAAATTTCCTTTTTTTTTTTTTTTTTTTTCTGAAACTGAAACCTCCATTTTACTTTTCAAAATGGGACTAGTAAGTGGTTCTGTGTGAATGGAGACTTTTAAATGAACAACATGAACAGTTTTTCCCCTTCTTTAAAAGATGGAGCCAAACTTACGTCAGGGTTTAGAAGTGATGATTTCCATTATTCCCTTTTCACAGTCTTCCTGCTAGGCAAATCCAACTCTTTTTATTAAAGCAAACCCAGCCGCTTGCTGTCTCCCTCGGATTCATTTAAAACTTCAAGTCTCCCCTGTGTTGTAGAACTTGTTTCAGCTCCACATTAAACTTGCTTTCTAGGAACTTCCACTTGTTTTCCATAGGCAAGTTTTTTTTTTTTTTTTTTAAATGACAGTTATATCATAGTGAACAACAAGCTCCAGGGTAATTTACGTTGGATTAAAATATGCCAGATCCTTGGTGACAGTAATATCAAATACGAAGTCCTTTGTTTCTAGATTCACTAAACAACGAATTAAAAAAAAAAAACTCTTTCCATTCCATTTTTTATGACATTTGCTGTTCAGTCTCTCAATAGGTTTAAATATCTGATTCTAAGTCAGGAGGGAGTTGAGTTGGCTTATTGAAAATCTTTTTCTGAATGCTTTAGTGGAATGTGTTTTTTATGAACTACTTAGCCATTTCTTATAATTTCTTATAATTTTCATTTAACATACTTGCTGTGGAAATTTCATGTTTCCCTTAAACCATCTTGAAAACACTTCTTAAAATATAAACGTTGCCATCATTTGAGCTACAGAATAAAAATGTGAATAATGATCTGTGATTATCCAGTCAAGTTGGGAGAGGGAGCCATGGCAGGAATCTGGGGCTCCTGGCTTCCAGTAAACAGTGCCCATGGGTTGAGAGGTCACATCTTGGAAGCCCTGGTAGGTACCATCTTGGACTGTTGGGGCCACTTGAACCTTAGGACTTTGGACCTTGGGTAACTTTAACACCATGATTCTGCTTAAAGCTTCCCTAATAGGCGGCATTTTGATATTTGCAATTTCAGAGCAATAAACTAGAGGAGAAAAAAAGGCTTCAAGAAAACCTCAGAAGAGAAGCATTTAGAGAGCACCGGCAATAGTAAGTTTGTGTCTTTCAGAACTTTGTACCTTTATAGGCATAATGCTTATTCTGCTTTTAAATTCTAGCTGATTTTTAGGACCTCTGATATTGGATTATTGGCTATTATATTAATTATGTAATTAAACTCTGTCATTATGTAAGTGAGGTTCTGAGGTTCACAGAGTATTCTTTAGTAGTCAGTCGATTTGAAATACTACTGCTAAATTTGAGAAATTCCCCACTGTAAATAACTAGGATGGCTTATTCTTTGGTGATCCAAGGTACTTCTGATAATGCTGACTTTCAAAACACTCATATAAGGAAGATAATATTTGAGAAGAAGTACCCAAGCAGAATTGAACTAACCAGGGGTTTATCTAATGTACTGAGGACTAGTCACACTTGTATTTTTATAGACAAAAATTGAGGAATAATTTAGCAATTATTGGCAAAATTCCCAATCGGTGGTCATCCACCAAGGTACTTTTTCTAGTAAGACTTGTGAATATCAACAGCTACTATGTATAGGGCAAAATGTGCTATATGATGTAGGTAATCTACTCTGTTATACAGGCTTTAAAGATAAGCTCCTGTCCTCACTCTAAGTAGCTAGATGACCTGTAAGCTGCTTAAAAGAACAGAAAAAGCCAAAACCCATATTTTTTATTATAACTTAAGACTATATACATACACCCCCCCTAGAAATTAACATAGGTTAATTCCAAATGTGGTAGCATTAAAACCAAGCATATCTGGATTCAAAGTCCTAGCTCCATTCCCCAGCTGTGACCTTGGACAGCGTATGGAACCTCATTTTTTTTTTTTTTTAAATAGGGATGACAGTATCTCTCTCATAGGCCATTTATAAGGATTAAATAAAATATTTTACATAAATGGCATACAAGTGCCTGAATTTTATGGAGACAGAAATGAAACTTTGTGCAGAGATCCTTGTTGAGTGGATCAGACAATTTCTATTTTGTAGTGACTGTTATGTAGAGACCATTCTGGTCCCACCCAGAACTGGCAGTTGGCCTCCACTTTCGGATGGATTATCTGACTGTCTCCTGTTTTCTCTTCCCATTGTTGTACCTCATTTTCAGAATTTAAGATCATTCTAATGTTGGGGTGAGCATATATGACAACCTAAAATATGTTGCATCCTCTGGTTTTCCACTGCAATTATTCTGTCTCTATCCTAAGCAGCTCTTTCTTGCTTTAAATCTCCAAGGGAGGAGTGGGAAGAAGTTTCTCAATGCTTTACTTTGTGTCTTAGCACAAAGGTACTTGGGCCTCTGCTACGCAGGCCAGAAAATGGGAGACGGAATGGGTTGGGTAGAAATGCCAATGAGTGACATTATCTTTTTTTTTTTTTTTACATTATCTTTTTTAAGTTAAAATAGGCATTGCCCTCATTTGAGTCATAGAATCCATAGCTTGTTTTTCCCCACTGTTCTTCTAAAACTTGTATGGGGGTGAGGGAGCTGGTGGGAATCTACCCACCAGGAGAAATTGTCTTAGAGAGAGATGCCAGGAGGGAGGTAGTAGATCAAGGCTGTTAATATATTATTACCTTTCCATTCATTGGTAGAGGGTGAATGAGAGTATTTCTAGGCCAACCAGAGGAGTTGAAAGAGATAAGGGGATGCCATGAGGGTAGCTGTAGACTAGAGAGACAATAAAGACAAATGTATTTATCCTACATCATCCAAGTTTCACTGGAGAAGGGAAGAGCTGCTTACCAATGAGGGGGTTGTAGGTACAGGACCAGGAATTTGAACAAGCCCATTCTCTGGAGAGTTTTAAACATGGTAAGTTGAAGGATGAGAGATTGTTATACTCTAAAGGAAATGGGATGTTATGTCACCCAATCACCTTTCTTTCATAGTCTCCAGCTTCTTGAGTTGTGTTTTACTAAATACTAGAGATCAATCACTCCTTTTCTCTGAAGGGAAAAAAAAGGGTTTTACCCTCAACCACCTCCTATACCATCAGTGGAGCTGAATTCAATTACACGCACATTTCACTCATGCTCTTTCTTCTGCTTATCATGAAGTCCCAGTTAACCAGGAAAAAGGAGTTAACTAAAAGTGAGAAGTATATCAAATTGATTTTTAAAGCCTACTGAGAAACATAAAAAAAAAAATAATCTGTGAATTTTTTTAAGAGTATTTTGTATTGAACTATTTTTGAAATTAAAAGACTAATAGCTCATGATATAAATGATCATTACATAGCTAGGAATATGAAAGGGACTTCTTGGAAAACATGGTTACTCTCTGTATCACAAGCCTCTATCATACCTTCTTATAATCGGTTTAATGGTTCAAAAATTGTCTAGGGGAGCTATTTGAATTCTAATAACACAAAGATTTCACCAGACCAACCAGGCTATTCCCCATTCCCCAATGCCCCCTTCCCCCATCAAAAGAATTAGATTTTCCTGAAGCTGTCAAACCAAGCAACACAAAATAGAAACACAAGTAAGAAATTCTTTCAAACTAGCCAATATCTCATGTCCTTGCTAGTTTCAGCATGCTGTGATATGTGGTCCAAATAGCAGACCAGGAACAGTGGGTGTTGTTTTTTTTTTTGTACAGAAGTGCATCCATGGACTTGAGCAGACTGTAAATCCAGGCTGCTGGAGAAAAAGCTCATGATAGCATCCTGGGGCACCACCATGAGAATCTTAATGTGCTCTTTCTTAACACCTTATTCCTGACTTCGTTCATTTGCTTCTGATTATTTTTAGTGTTGTCAATTATTTAGCTAACAGGCAGAAAACTAGGCTTTTATTGACATCCAAAGGGACTCTCCTGAGTGTAATAATGAAGGCAGTTTATTGAATGCCTGTGAGGTTGCTTTCTAATTGTACGCATTAATCTGCGCATGCAAGCTGGCTGGAAATACACAAGCAGATTGCATGTGCAGATGGAGCACACAGGATGGCTTTTATGAGAAGACCTCTGGAATGTACTTCTGCAGTACTGTCTTTTCCTTAAAAATCGAATGACTGTGACTATTTCAATTGGCAGCTGAGAGCAGACCAGATTAATGGTGCATTAAGTCTGCTACACTGGCTGGGGACAGATTCATTTCACAATTTAGAATTAGTTCTAGGATTCTTGAGCATGAAAGCAGAGGGTAGAAATAGGCGTCTAACCCTGGTGTAGTTTTCACCATTATTTTTATTCTCTCTAATTACGTACTTATAAAAAGTCAAATGTGGCACTTTTCAGGATGGCCTTTTCTATTAATCAATATTACTGGTGGATTTGAGCATTTGAAGTAATAGTTAATAAGCCTTTGGCTGTGCTTTAAAAAAATATCAAAGGGAGGATGTTGGGATTTAAGTGATTTAAAACACTTGAGTAAAATCTCAGCATTTAGAATTTTGAATGGTAGCTTATTTTGAGGGTGGTAGTCATATTTCTAATAATGTCTTTTGGATAGATGTAGAGATAGGTTTGAATTATGAGCCTATTTAATCAGTGATGGGGGCTCACGTAGGATGGGAGTAAATGAATATGTTTCTTCCCACCAAGATCTAAATTTTGCCTACAGTAGATGAAAAAAAAAAAAAACCAACAACAACAAAAAACTGAGGAAGTATGTTAGCTTCCTCTGATTTTCATCATATATGAATGCCATCCTCTTCCAGGTCCAACGGTGGGTTTAGTACCACAGTTAAACTTACTATGGGGTCTGTGGGCTTTCATGACCTCTCTGGGCTGTACTCTATTCCTAGATAATATTTCTAATATTTGTAGGGGAGAAGGGATTCAGTTCTTAAAACGCCAGTTGAAAAAGCTCTTGGAACCAAGTTCATTCCAAAACAGGACGTTCCTGTTCCTAAAGTGTCAAGCACCACCCTGAGCTTAGCCTGTCTGTTGCAATGTTGGGAAGTTTACTTCATTTCCACCACTAAAACCATGCATCTCTTTTATTTCCATTTGAATAATAGTATGATTGACTCCTAGGAGGCACATCTTCATCTATTTTAGTTTCCTAGAGTGGAGGATCCAGGCAGGTCTGCTGAATATGCACACTTAGGCCCCAAGTTTGCCTTCTAATATGCTCACAAAACTTCTAATGCCCTTCATGGGAGCTTCCAAAAGACACTTAAGGGCTAAATCGATCCCTTATCCATATGGTAGGCTTAAATCCAACTTCACATTTTATAATCCAAGTAAGGTGAATCCAAAGTCATCCTATTCATAACTTTCTATCTTATGCTAATGAAGTGAACTTATAGATACAAAAAGCCCCTATCTATTTTGTTCAGAATAAGACAGAATATTTTATGGAAAATCTGATCTGAGAGAATCCCCGCCTAGTGAATGTTAAATCGTGCTGATGGTTAATACCGTGTCAAAATCTCTACCCACTATTGATTCTTCCTATAGATGTCCTGGTGCACGTTAATTCATTTTCATTCCCGCTGCTACCACCTTCATATAGGTATTTATCACATGCCACCTGCATTATGGCTTCTGTCTCCTTGTGGTCCCCTGGACTACTGGAATGGTTTCATTACCGTCTTTGCCCACTGTCTTTTTCTTTTGGTTGCCTTACATGTTTTATCAGATTTCGTTTCCTAAAACACAACTTTAATCATGTCTCTACCCTATTCTAAAAGCCTCAATTATTTCCCCTTTCTTATTAGATGAATTCCAAACTGCCTGGCCACACTGTGGGAAAAACTTTGGGCCCCATTGGTAAGAAGATACAAGACCTTGCTAGGATTTGGGTCTGTATCAGGTGACAGGATGAGGCTTTGAGGAAATAGGGCTCTGTTCTGGGTTCAATGTTATCAGGAGGCAGGTATCTTAATCTTATCTAAAAGGAGCAAGACGTGAGCAATTAATTGTAATGGTAAGTAATTAATAAAGAAGTGGCTGTCACACAAATTTGCTAGGAATTGGGGGTATCTGGTCACCCTGGTTTAGAGTAGGTTCTTGTGTCTGCTCAGACATGTTAAGAAGTGCTCTTCTTTTGGTCAGGATCCATCACAGTTG